CGAGCGTCCCCCCCGCTGCCAAGGAAGGGGCGCCCCGGGTAGCGCCCTGGCATGAATGGGGAGCAAAGCTGCGACGAAGAGCGCCTTGGGGCTGGCGCCTCCCCGATCAAGGCGTTTTCCATTTATTTTCCTCCCGGCAAAAGCGGTGGGCTTCGTGGCCCTTGGCCGCCTTGCTCCTCCAGGGGCAAGAACCGCGGGCTGCGGGAGGGGATCGCTGGGCTCCCCCCGAAGGCAGCGTCGCCCGTGCTTTCAAGGGCTCGGCCGGGCCGTTCGGACCGATGGTTTTCCATGCCCGGTGGCAAAGTCTGGGCAGTTTCCGGACCGCCGGTGCCCGCCGCTTCTTACCAAGGCACCATCCCGGCTTCAGAGCAGCTGTTCGCAGATTTAACCCTCGGAATGCAGCTTTACAACCCCTTTTTTGACCTGAAACCCAGTTTCTTTCTTCTTTCACGGAGAGATTTGGGGGAAGGTGGGGGCAGAGGCTTCCCTGATACGACTGTTTAATGACTTGGGAAATTGACCCACGCCTGCAGATGTTGGGGATCTAAACCAGGGCAGGTGAGTCAGCTGGCCAGAACATTTCACAACCCCTGAAAAGTTGTTGTTGTGGACGAGGCCATCCGAAGGAGAATTTCCAGAAGCAAATTCTGAATGGAGTTGAAGGGAACGGCGGTCCAACCTACCAGCCCCGGTCAAAGGGGTTTCTTCTGGCAGCTTTTAACATTCCTACCTGTAGACGTATTCAGCCCCTTATTTTTCCCCACCTAGCAGGGGAGAAAGCTGTCCTTCGCTTACCCCACCATCTCCCTTTTCTGAATGTTGAAATTTCTTTTCTCAGTTTCTTGCATCATCGCCGATCCTTGTTCCTGTCTTCCATGACCCGCTGGAGAGAAGATTAAGTTCTCCCATGTGATTCCCTTCCATTCCCTTTGCAATTGTGCAAGTTTTAGCCTGAAATGGCTACATCGTTCTCCCTCCTCCACCCATCTAAATCCCATGTGAAAAATGGGAAGGATCCAGGGCACGATTTCAGTTCTCACTCCTTGATCCGTTCTCACGTAGCATGCAAGAGAGCGAGCCAGATTTCTGAGGGTTTTTGCAAGAAATCCTTTTCCGGGGGGGCTCATGGTGTCCTTTTTAACTTCGAGCAGGTTTTTGTTAGCCAGGCGGGGAAATGGAGGTGAAATGCTTTATTTTATTTACCTGGCGTGCTATGTCGGGAGGGAGTTTTGCAATGCTGCATACTGCTGCTTGCCCGCAGGAGAACGTGGTTTCCTCTTGCAGCTTCCCCCGGCCCACGACTTGCTTTTTACAGATGCCACAGCCAGGACCGAAGGCATTTTTCTTCCTTTTCCTAATGTGTGCGTGCATCCCCTCCTTGGCTTTGTAGTTTGGGGATAAATACAGAATAAATGATGTGCGTAATCCGTAGAGGAGTTGTGGCCGGGAGGGCGGGGGAGTGAGTTGCCCTGGGGAGTCTGGAGCTTCCACGACGGACTTGCAGGGTAGTAACTCAAGCACCGATTGTGTTGCTCTGGACGGGCTTAGCTCAGTTTCCTGGGCACGAAATATTAAAATAAATATTTGTTTATGATAGGAAAGAACTGAGAGGTGCGTACACAAATCCGGCAATTGCAGAATACAGTATTGCTACCACTTTGTGTCCGGAATATACAGTATCCCACTTCCGTTGTGAATGGAAGTGCCTCCTTTTTTTAGAAACGGAAGCTCCTGTTACACGCTCAGTCGTGGCAGAACTGCATCCAGACTATTTTTAGGTCCACCTCCCCATCCCGTCTGGTGAAGTGTGCAGGGACCCTCTCGCCAGAGCGGCAAATTATTTTGGCCCTCTCTTTCTGGATAGAAGAAATCCATGTCTGCGTCCTGCCAGGCTGGAGACGTTGGGCGTGCAGGCATGTTTGTCAACGTGGGGTTGGGTTCTGCTCTTCCTGAGTGGGGGCCAGGGATTCTGACCCTGATGTGCCCACATCCATTTCGTTCCTCCTTGTGTATCTTTGAAAACCAACCAGCCCAACCCGTGCATTCCTTTGGAGCGCAATGTTTGCCTGGCACCCCGTTCAAAATCAATGCAAATCCTGTTTACGTTTTGGAAGGTTGCAAAATTGAAAAGCACGGAATGAGTTTAGATTAGCTCTCGATACGGGACTGGGCAGGGACATCTTGTTCCAGGAAAAGGAGTTATCTGGTCCGTCTAGATCGCGGTGTCTGCATGCCAAGTGTTGTGGCTTCTTAAAATATGTCCTGCACACGTTGCTTCATACCCACGTTGATCTCTCCAGGCATTTGTACACATTCCCCATCCGTGGTGCAAAATACTCTGCGCATGGAGGTAGGAGAAGATGTTCAGGGATCCTCAGTGTCCCTAAACGTACTATCTCTGTTTCCAGAACTAGCCCACTTTACAAACACCTTGGTTAATTTTTTCCCCCTTTACTGAGTGTTGCATTGGACATTTTTCAGTTGCAAGCCCAAACTTTTCGTAGTACCGAAGAGTTCCTGGCAGTGTTTCTCGGTTGCTCTGTTGGGAATGGGGTGGGAAGAATTGCCGCTTGGTGGGTCACGCGCAGGGCATCCTCTGATGCCCAGAGCCTTCGTTGGAACGGAAAGGGAGGAAGCTATTCAGATACTGTGCTCGCAACGCCCCTTTGAGTTTTCTCGGTCCATTGAGAGAAACCAAAGGAGCCTTTTCACAGAAGCGTGGCAGAGGGTCGTTGCAGTGCAACTCACGCTGAACTTTCGTGGAGGGTGTTGGTCTCTCGAAGGCAATCCTTCGTCCGGGGGCAGGGAAAGGCTGTATATAGAAAATAAGCCTTAGTCATCCATCCATCCGTTCATCCTTGTGGCATTTGGAGCAAGCAACATTATGCCCTGCTGGAAAACACAGTGAGAAACAGCAAGCCCACCAAATTAAGGCACGAGGCTTAAAAAACCCAGAGCCGAACCTTTGATACTATCAAATCAAATTGCTTTTCGCGGCCATAAGGCACACATTCAATATTATCACTTATTCTCTCCTTTAAGCCCACAAAGGTGTCCTCTGGAGGGTGAGCTTTGGCGTGGAGATTTGCTGGGGCTTCTTCCAGATTCAGGCAAACCAGCCCCCCCCCCCCCCCAGTTATAACAATACTGCTCCACCCTGCAGGAATATTGTAGAAATAAGCGCAGAAGAGGGTTGCAAAGCGCTGAAACACCTTGTCCAAGGAAGAGATGGGAGGAAATTGACTCCATCCGGCCTGAGGGAACTTGGACTTCAGTCGCGTTATCGTGTTTTATTGTTTTATTCAAGGCTGCCCCTTCTTGGCTTCCATCGTACCGCATGCGTGTGAGAATGAAACATTTCCTCGGCTGCTATCTCTCTGGGAGAATTTCAGACTCTTGGGTTGCAAAACTTTCTGCCTTTTTCTGCGGGAAGAGGCAGGGCCTCCACGAAGCTGCAGGGCTACACGGATTGTGTTTTATTCCTGAGGTTTAGCCCCTGTGTTTTATCCAGGGAGCTCTCATTTTAGCTATACAGCACCCCTGTGAGGTAGGCTGCCTTGAGAAAACCTCCCCTAGTTCCTGGCTCTCTTCCTTTTTTTAATTAGAACTTTTCAGGGCAGTAAACAGAGACAAAATTTGAAGAGGATTAAGGGGGAAAAAGTATACAGAAAATAAGAAAAATGAAAGAAGAAAGAAGAGAATTAGGACTTCCGCCCTTCTTCCTATCAAATAATTGCCATCTTATTCTTCCTCCTTCCTCTTCGACCCTTTCTAATCCCCAAATCCATAAATCATCAACCTTTTCTTCTTTCAGCGAAAAGTCCATATAGGTTTTCCAGCCTTTCAGAAAAAGTCTTTATCCTTTTTTCCTGACCCCGCCGGTCAGCTTTGCCATTTTCGCGGGCTCTGTCAATTTTATCATCCAATCTTCCACGGTGGGTATTTTCTTATTCTGCCACCTTTGGGCATACAATAACCTTGCCGCAGTTGCCATATGCGATATTAGTCCCCCCCCCTTTCTTTTTTAGTTCCTCGTCCTTAAAACCCAATCAAAATAAGTCTGGTTCCCTCATAATTTTAATCTGCAATATCTTCTGCATCAGCATATGAATTTGTGCCTCCCTGGCCCTGGGCTCTTCCAGCTCCATCCAAACAGTTGGATCCCTGCCCCGGGCGGGCTCTTCTCTGCAGAAACCCAACGGCTGAACAGTCCTTACACGCCCTGGTCTCTTCCGATACGTTCACGCACGTTGGGAAGAATAGATTCCCTTTCACCCGGTCCTGCTCGCTATTCCCGGTGCATTTGAAGCTGGCTGTTTGTTGAGGGTTTTGTTTGCTCAGGGGGATGAATGCGGGCCATCTCGGCCGCTGGGGCGGTTGCATCGTGCATCGGGGCGGGGAGGCAGACGTCCTCTGGCCGGTGGCGTGCAGGAGGGCTGGATCCCGGTGCCCCGACTCTGGCCATGGAGGGGCGTAAAAGTGGCTGGGAAGGGTCCCGCAAGAAAAGGAGTTTTTCTCCCGCTGCTTTGCCTTCTCCCGAAAGGACCGGCGTGTGCCGAGGGAAACCCGGATCCCAGCCCAGCGGCTTCCTCTTTCAGGTGGGTGGGGGAAACCTGGGAAACTTCGAGAGGTCCCCGAGCGGAGTTTGGAGTCGGAGCTCGGACCGGCTCGGTGTCTTCCTTTCTCCAAGGAAAGACTGAAAAGTTTGGGTCTGTCGGCTTGCCGTTTCAGGACGCTATTCGGACGCTGAACACCCTCCAGACCAACGCCAGCTACCTGGAGCAGGTGAAGCGGGAGCGGGGAGACCCCCAGATGCAGCTGCAAGCCATGGCCGTCTTCTTGGAACGCACCGGCTTGAAGGTAGATGAGCTGGGGGGTCTGGGGCAGACGCCTCCCTCGCCCCGTGGAGGGGAAGCGGGGTGTGGGCGCTCCGTTTGTCTTGTTTTGGGGGGACGAGGAGGCAGGGTGCGCCCCACCCTCCCTGCATGGCTGGGAGGAGGTTCCCTCGCCGAAAGCAAAAGCTGATAAGGGTTTTGTCTGGCAGGTCGAAGACCTGGATCAACTCAACATCATTCACGTCACCGGGACGAAGGGCAAGGTAAGGGGGCTCCGGGGAACGGCGGTGAAGACTCTTTAATTTTATCAGCGATGAGCAATGAGCCCACGAGGGATACGACGTCAGTGACAACCCCATGCGGGACTCTACGTTACAAATAAATAAATTGCACGTAAGGGAAGAAGGAAGAAAGAACCTCGAAGAAACCTCACGTGCCGTCTACCCCAAATGAATCCAGTCCTTAAACTTATTAAATCCAGAGCCTAGGGAAGCACATTGATCCAGCTGCCCGTTTTTAGATTCGAAAGACGTTTCCAACATTGACCGAGAATAAATCTCCCATCCGTTCCTTGACGCCAGGAGTTTTCATGCCTTTCTCTTCACCGAGCCCCAAGCTTAATAAAGCCAGAGCTGGTCTCTGTGGTCACATTCCCTACCTGAGGAGCATAATTCAACATTGCATGGATCTCCGTTACATAGTTTTCCCTAAGATTATGGGAATGGGTGTCATAACTTAAAATCAAAAGAGACCTGTTGTGGCTTGACAGGCCCAAATCGTGTGAGCCTCTTGTATCTGCCAGTGGTTGGGAAACATCTGGGAGAGGACCGTAGAGAAGATCTCAAGTTGGTTGGGAAGAAGCTATTTTTAAAATGAACCCAGGGTATGAAGGGAAGAGGTTGGCCACCTACAGCCCTCATGCAACTTGGGGCCGTTGGCCCAGTTTTCAAAATCCTCATCAGCAATCAGTTCAACAGCTGATTGGGCGCGGGGTGCAAAAAGGGTTCCGCAAAGGTGTTGAGCAGCCCGTCTTCCTTCCTGGTTTGACGTTTCACCTCTCTGCCCATCAGGGTTCGGCCTGCGCCTTCACAGAACGGATTCTGCGCAACTACAATTTAAAGACGGGCTTCTACAGGTAAACGGCCTTGTGGGCTGTTGGGGGCTCCAGGGAGCTGGCGGAAAACAGCCTCCTTTTGAGCAAATGGTGGGGAGCGTTCAGGTTTAGAGGACGTTCTGTGCCAGCTGAAATAGAATATATTTAGACCCCAACTTGGGGAAGTTTTGATTAAACCAGTCAAGATGGGGTCTTTAACTGCAGATTGGATATAAGGTGGAGAACGGGTGAGCAGGTATTATTATTATTATACTACTGGGGTGTTTATTTTATTTGTTTCAAAAAATGCCTGTTGGTTTATACGTTCAGTTTGTAAAACTTCCCAATTGTCAAAGTGATTCAAACCTGAAAAGCCACTTCTAGGATTAGATTGGAGAAGGAAACACCGTTCTGCATGGTTCTTGCAACGGAGTCTCGGGAAACCTTGTGGTTTCCTGGCACTCTTGATTTTTTCCAGCGCGCGAACAGACCGCTTGATTAAGCCGGCCTTTGGTCTCGGCTGGCACAATTCCTCTAGCAGAGAAATAAAAGGCGAGCTCTCCTTCCTTTTGAAACCAAAGTTCAAACAACATGCATTTGCCCCCAGTTACCTTGAATCCTGATTCTGTCTCTGGAAGGTAAACAGAACTCAGGGTATCGTAAAATCTGCTTTCAGAACTGGTTGAGCAGGGGTTGCTGGGGTTTCCCTGACTCCACTGTACTTTAATCAAGTAGTGAGCATTTACTGAACACCTTCATCAGAGTCTGTAGCATTTTCTGCTTGGGCCCTGGCATGGCAGCCATTCCAATTTGGATCTCTGATTTTTCCCCCCCAGTTCTCCGCATCTGGTTCAGGTTCGTGAGAGGATTCGGATCAACGGGCACCCCATCAGCCAGGAGCTTTTTAGCAAATATTTCTGGCAGGTGTATAACCGGTTGGAGGAGACCAAGGTATGCTCTGGGTCACTTGTTTAGGAGTCGTGTTAGAGATGGAAACGGGCAGGGAGGGTAGTGGGGAGGTGGTGTGGTTGGGATGCAAAAAACGGAAGGAGAGAAGGAACAGAAAAGCAAAATAGAGAAATCGTACTCCCTCCAACTTTTCCAATCTTTTCCTGAGCTTGGTTGTTGAAAGAATACAGCACCATCTCAATGCCCAAGCCTAGCTCAGAAATTAGGAGAAGCCCATCTATTTGTAAGTCTCTGAGATACGCACATTACAGGGATCAAAGGAGGTTCATTTAGACTGAACCTGGATTTTGATGGTGACCGTGAAATGTGGGTTTGGGACCTTGATGGTCCATATTCAGATCCTCCTAACCTCTTTATTGTGTTTTCAGGACTCTCACCATGCCTGCATGCCCGCGTACTTCCGGTTCCTGACGATCATGGCTTTCCATGTCTTTCTGCAGGAGAAGGTATGTTGGACCAGAAACACATTTTTTAAAATTGGGGAAAATAGATATGTTTGGGGAAGGCAGGTGGGGTTCTGGTGACTGTCCAGATGTTGCTGGTCTGCAGAGTCCTGAGTCCTTCCAACATCTGGAGATCCACAGGGAACCTGGCTTTAAAACCGAAGCACCTCCAAATTGAGTTGAGCTTCTGGTGACTTCATGGATGCCTCCATGTAGTTCTTTGGTAGGGAAGGGGTTTGGAGGATCCCTTTAGATGGAGAAGTCCACTCTGCAAAATGTCTTTTGGGGCTCTGTCCGAACTGGCCCTGGTTGGATTTAAATAAATTAGTTCATTCTTGGAGACCAAAAAACGATAGAGTGCAATTCCCATATCCTCAGGCAGCCTGGCCTATAGATCATTGCCATGGTCCAAAATCGGGAGGGTCCAAAATTTCTTGGGCCAGTTGGGCTATGATACCATGTGGTATTTTGTATCTTCTTGGTCTTCTTCCCAGGTTGACTTGGCGGTCATAGAAGTTGGCATTGGGGGTGCCTATGATTGCACAAATATTGTCAGGTATGGGGAGTTGAAATTCTGGATGCTTCATCATTAGCCCTCAAGTGGGTGGGTTTCCCTCTGTATTCAGAAAGGGTTGATGCTTGCTGGACATCCGCACTTCTCGATGCATTTCCAGGACCATGCCACTCTGGAATCCCAGCTGCCTGAAGTCCTTCATCCTTGGAGAGTCTTCTTCATCTCCTTTTCTTTGTCTTCCTTGTAGGAAGCCAATTGTATGTGGGGTCTCCTCCTTGGGCATTGACCACACCAGCATCCTGGGGGACACCATTGAGAAGATTGCCTGGCAGAAAGGGGGCATTTTCAAGGTAGAGCCCTGGATGGATCTTCTCTTCCAACCTACATGTTGTTAAGATGGGCTTGAGCGGGTTAGCAGGAAACCTGGAGGCATCTCAGAAGACCGTAGAAAGAAAATCCTTTTAAATTCTCTGCCATTTTTGGCAGTTTTGCGGCCTGTTTGGTTTCTCAGTCACCATGAGGTCTAGAAACCTTTTCTCCGTTAGCAGAGAAGATGCAAATGGACTATAAACTGCTTTTTGCAATAATAAGATGTAGGATGTGGGTATATTAGGAAGCTTAATATTTTAAGCATGGATGAAATATTTTTTAATGGCTGGAGGTTGTATTGTATGTGTATGTGTATGCACAAACACACACACACAAATAATCAGCTTCTGTAGGTACCCTATCAATGACATAACTAGAAAGGTATGACTGCAATTTTCAGCCTGTCTGTTTGACTCTGTATAGGGAATGACCAGCACTTTGAACTGGGCCCAAAAGCCAACTGGTAGATAGATTAAATTCAATAAAATTGGGTTGACCCACCTAATAATCTGGCTGTCCAGTTTGCACTCGATGTATCTTCCGAGCCGCCTCCAAGGGCAGCCCCACGGGGAGCGCATTGCAGCAGTCCAGTTGCCGGTGATCGGAAGTCACCTTACTTGTTCTGGGAGCAAAATCTTGCTGTTCTGCCTCTCTCTCAACTTCTTGATCTGCCTTTCAGCCCGGCGTGCCAGCATTCACAGTTCCACAGCCAGAGCGACCCTTAGAAGTCCTGAAAGAGCGAGCTGAAGAATGTCCGGTAAGGTTGGCTTGAACCCACAGATGTTCCCCTTGCTTTTCTTGGAAGACCAAGCCCTGTAGCAGCTGTCGGAGGTGGAAGCAGCAATGAACAGCTTAACACACAAACCTAGACAGTCCACAGCCAGTGAATCTACTTTCTTAGTCTTCCGTGCAGTTGACATTTAAGACAAGCTAATTATAACACACACACACACACACACACACACAAAATTCCCTTCTGCATTTTGGCTGGAAGAATTGACTTGGGTCACCGGGCCACTAGCTTTGCAATCCCTATGGCTTTTGCAGAAGAAAACCGCTTGATCTTTTAGGGCTGGCCCCAAAATGGAGGAATAAGCCATCAGTTCACCATCCTCTCTCTTGTGGCACAGAAAGGCATTTTACGTGCTCTGCAAGCAAGGTGGCATCTAAGTGGGTTGGCAAAGCAGGAACGGGACAGTGTGTTCCTCCCTTGCATAATTGTCATCCTGTGCTCGCCTACGGGAGAGCCTCTTTTCACCTGCGGCGACTAGTGAATGGTTCAGCGCAGCCCTGCCTAACAAACGCTTTGGCTGCAGGCTCAGTTTCCTATGCGGAGCGGAATCATGACTAGCGCTCCGTTTTTTCCCACAGTGCCCGCTTTTCCTGTGCCCTGACCTGGATGCCTTTGAAGACAACGACAGACCCCTCCAGCTAGGTTTGGCTGGTGACCACCAACGCTCAAACGCCGCTTTAGCCCTCCAGCTCTCCCGCACGTGGCTTGGCCATTGTGGCTATCTGGGTGAGGAAAAACCTCCCCCCCCGCCCTTTGCTTATTCTTGGCGGGGGTCATCATCCTGCCAACCCTTTCTGATGAACATCATAGCTGCTAGAATTTGAGGGGGAGTTTGGCCGAGAAGGTTGATACCCCATGGATAGAAAGCGTCTGTTGCATCTGGATTGAATAAGGAGCATCGGATTTATTAGATTTATATTCCGCTTTTCGTTCAGGAGCTCACGGCGGGCATAGTGCGTCTGCGTCCTGTTTTGTTCTGCAACAACAACCTTGAGAAGTAGGCTGGCCGAGAGAAAGCCAGAGCACCTTCGTAGCTGAGGGCAAATTAGGACTCGGATCCCTCCATTCCTAGTCCAGCTCTTAACCACGATGCCACATCAGTTCTCTGTGGCGGTTTTCGTCCATGTCCCTTTACAATACAGAATTCCATTTCGATGATGACCCAGGTCCGCATAGTTTCTTGACGCTCCCTTGCTTTTAATTTGGAACGGATTCGCATAAAAATCGGCAAGCCTTTCCACCCCACCGGTCCTCCTTGAGAAGAGAGCTCTGTTGAAAGTTAGATCCCAGCCTCCTCTCTCTGGGGGGCATTGAGTCAAAGGTTACGCTATGCCCGCCCCAAGGAAGGAGGATGGGGATTTAGGGTCATGGAGGAAGAAAGGGGCGGATTGATGGAGGGGATCCCCCTTTGGTGTTTTTGGACAGATACCAATGAGCTGAAAGACTTGTGGCTACCTTCTGAACTTCCAGCAAAGAGGGTGCCCCGCTTGGCTCCTGCTTTTAAGCCAGACCAGCCCATGGTACAAGGTATGGGTCCTCTCCTTCTCCTTCTCCTTCTCCTTCTCCTTCTCCTTCTCCTTCTCCTTCTCCTTCTCCTTCTCCTTCTCCTTCTCCTTCTC